TGCTACATAAAACGTACGCATTGACATTCGCTGCTTAGAAAGCTAAAACGCGTATCGAGATAGTGCCAATTATCACCGCAATCTTAATTCTCTTTAGAATTCTAATTATTCTTATTGACTTACTCGTCGATTACTGACTAGCGATAACGTGCGACTCAATAACGAGGTAGAACATGACTTGCGCTATAAAATTCGTAATGAAGGAAAATCACGCGTGGCTCGTGAAATTATATGTACACGCTAGTCGTAACGGGCCGTTGACACTTGTCAGCCAGGCCAGTCACGCAAAACGCTCCGTCCGATTTCAACATTAGATGGCAGGCTGGCAAGCTTCACCTACCTCGGCTGAATTTATGCTCTCCGTTGGAGTTGCACGAAATCTACGATAACGTTGATGCAAGTAATCGTGACTTTCAATCGAAACTCCGTTGGAGTTGCACGCTCGGCGAAAATTCGGAGGAAATAATTGAAACTTTTTTATCATGATATCATGACTTTGTTTGACTTACTAAATACAATTTTTATTCATATATTAAACTTAGAATTTCCTAAATTTATTAAAAGAATTATGATCTCTTTTTTTTCTTCTCGATTTAATCCTTTGAATTTCATAAATGCTGAATACAATTAAATTGTTTAAATAGCTCGACTAATTTATTGCGAGAAAAACATTTCATAATTCATCAAGATAATTAACACTAGAATTACAAAAGCAATCAAAATAAATATAGTTTACAATTTTTTATTAAAATTACAACAGTGCGTTTTCTGATACTTTTGTTTGACTTTTTCGCAGTGTGTAAAAAAAATAGGTTAATTTACATTTCCCCCAGCTCTTTCTTTGAAAGAGATATAAATATAATATATTATAAATAACACAAATGGATATATGTCGGTAGTTCTAATGTTAATAATGGCGAGTTCCGTATAAATGCGTAACGGAGTGGTAGAGTCTCCGAATAAATTTTTACGCAATACAGGAAATCAAACTGATTAAATTACGAGTTGCACGCAAGTTACAAGTGAATAACGAAGATATATGTAACGCTCCTGTAAACACTTAGACCGGATCTGCGAGTGTGAAAATAGCCTCGTGAAAATAACTTTCCCCTTTGAAAGTTTTAAGACGGTCAGCTGAGCGCCATGGAATCCGCTCGCGATCGCGTTAAGATGTATAGCAGCATTAATAATGAACTGTATATCATCCCTATACAATTCTCTGCACATTATATCAAAACTTAATCGAAATACATTATGCGATATGTACAATACATTCATAATTGAAAATTATTTCCAATTTTTTTTTCTGATATCTTTAATTTGTTTACAGTTTCTTAAATCCACGAAGAAAGAGTATATTTAAAATCTCATAAGAAAAATCTTGCTAGAAATTGAAGAATTTTGTTATTTACATAATACAATATTTTATATCATTATTAGTTGTTGACAAAAACGATACTATGATAAAGACAGTATTATAACTTAAGCAAATCAAACAATTGTACATACATCTGTTCCTTACTTTCAAGCGACTTCATTACCGTCACAACGTTGTGGATCGCTAATGCTTCGTGACGAAGCCAAGACGATCACAGCTGAGCGTGCGGCAGAAAATGCCGCAGCATTGATAATGAACCGAGTGTCTAGGCACGTGCCTCTGCTCGCGTGGAGATGAATCGATGCTTCGAGAAGTAATAACATCGTGTTCCACGTTTCGTGCAGTGCCGGCGCCGCAAGCGTATCCATTCGCTTCGTCTTTCCATTGATGATACCGAGAGCGAACTCGAATACGCCTCCATCCGACCTAATGAAAGCGAGTTAATGCGATTTCTTCCTGAGAAACCGGCTTCGCGATATATTGGTATAAATCTCGAAACGGAATAAGTAAGATTCACTTGATGCTAGAACGCGTCGCCATTTATTGCTATGAAATTTTACGATAATTTCACAGAAATTTGAAAGCCGGCTGCGTATCGCGAAAGTCGCTGATATATTTCCGCGGAATTGAGATCTCTTTAATGGACTACTTCTATCGATTTTATGCGGTACTTACACACTGTTGAGGATGCAATTAATGAAATTAATATCGGCATTTGCGTGATCACATCCTCTCACTATTGTTCAAGAATTACTCAATTTGAAATCGTTTTTTTTAGAATCGATCCCGATTTATTGAATATTTACATGCACATTATAATTAAGCAGTGCAGAATTATATGAGCATGAATTGATAATGACTTTGTCTTCATAATTACAAATTCGATAAGCTGACGGATACAAGCAGACATGCCGAATCGATGACTCTATCGATTATGCTAAGTATTCTTCCGTCCATAATACACAACGAGCGAAAGCGTATCGCCATCTTTTAGGCTTCACATAGATCGCGCGCTGATGCTTCGCAACTAACTTAAGAAATAGGAACATCAATTACTCCGCGACTCTCCCGAATTAATATACATCGTTCTCGCGCGGCACCTGAATGTGATATTAGCCACTCCATCGCGGCCTCTCCGTCACTTTCTTCTTCTCACTGGTGCGCAGGTACTTGTGCTCATCGTCCTTAAGATCCACAGAGACCGTTTCTACTGATATTTCTATCAGCATTTGCTGCGCGATAAAACTAGTAATATCATGGATTATTAAATATTATATCGTTTATTTCACACCTGAGCTCATAAAGATATTTATTGGAAAATCTCAAGATTTCACTGAGAAAAGTTTCTGATTGAAAATGGATGAATCAGAAGATTTTGATTATATCAATTAGAATTCTGGTTATCTCAATTAGAATTATAATAGATTTAATCAGAAAATTTTTAATTTTCTACATATTAATTTTGTAAATTTTCAAGCAGAATTCTTGTTAATCAATCACACTCTTTTTCCTGTGCTTGTTTGTCTTATTTGTTTCAATGCAAATAAATGGAAACAGGATGTAAAAATGAAAGTAAATGGAACGTAACAAGCGTAATTTATAAGAAATAAATCAATGGCTGCATTTCGTAGAAAAAGTAGCTTTGCAATTATAAAATTCTTTAATATGATTGGTTCTTGCCTTTAGTTTCTCATTGGAGCTAAAGATATAATCAATCATATTAAAGATTCTTGCAACAGTTATGAAGCTACTTTTTCTGTAAAATCGCAATTAATGTTTATTAATGGCTATAGAAAAAATAGATGCTTATAGAAAAAAAATTTTTATCGAGAAATCCGAGTTCGAATGCCGGCTGAAGTAATATTATTCGCAATAAATTATTTAAAATTTTAAAAGAAAACTTATTAACGTCGAATTGTTTACATCTTTCTAAAATGCTTATCAGCATCAGTATTATTAAATTGCTTATTAATTTAATTTGTAATGTTACTATCCCATTTTGACTTATGACTGCGTTTCAAGACTGAAAATGATTTCGGCGTGCTGCAGTTTTACAGAGCGACATATGAATGTAAATTAATAACGAAAATATTATTTCGGCATCGTTAAGACATTAGTTACTCAATTAAAATTTTTTTTATTTTTTTCTAAATAAAATTCTTCTAAATTATAAAAGCATCGTATTATCATAAGTTTAAAATAATCACACACACACTGGTGACACTCTATTTATTAAATATCTATTGTAATTCATATTATTTTATTAATTATTAATTATTAAAATCTAATTATGTTCAAAGGATATTTTCTTAGAATATAATTCTTTAAAAATTTCTTTAAAAAGGAATTGAAACATCATTTTACGAATGCGAAGTTCATATTTTCTGCTGAACGCAATGTCTATTAATGGAATGATGAGAAAAAAATTCTTTATTTTTTCTAGATAATTTTTTTTAAATTATAAAAGCATCATACTATCATAATTATTTATAGTCGAAAAAACATTTTGTATACTAATCTCAGGATCTCTTTTAGAGACTGCATTGTACTTTGATTAATGTTAAAATTAAAATACGCAATATAATTACACGAAAATGACCAAAAAAAAAGAAATTAAATAAAAAAAAAGGGCTTCCACAAAACGTATTCCGCAGAACGTCAATCTCAAGTGTATCCACCCACATGTACAAATTTTTCTCACGACCCTGTACGATCTGGTCTATCGTTCGATCTAAACTTTCGTATGCCAATCCGCCATGCTCGCTCACATAATGCATGTTATTTGCACGCACTTCGTTGTAATTAAGCAGTGTAAAATTGCTCTGAGTACGAAATGATAATGACTTTGCCAGATCCAAAGCATTATAAAGTTAAATAGATTATCAATGAAAGAAAAATAACACTTATATTACACGGTTAGAAACAGTCTCATATATATAGTGATATAAACCCAACTTTCAACAATTCAATTGTAAAGAAATTGCTTGAAACTTCACATGATCAATTGTTGTTATAAACATACTATCATGAGCTGAGTATTCAACTGACAGAGATGTATGCGAAGGTATAACATAACATACGGAAGAAACCCTGCTACGTGCTACAACACGCAGAATCGTTTTAAAGTAATAATTAATACGCTAGCTCGCTGCTCATTTGTGCAGTGAATATCCCGAGGGTATTCCATTATCCTATATGAACCGCCTTTCCATCATCATATCTCGATAGACGCTGACAATCTAATTTGGCACGGGGCACAATGTGGCGAAGCGTTGTTTCAGGCGCGCGTATACAGAATCGGTTCTCACGACCCTATCCAATCTGATTCCCGTACTCCTTTCGGAGATCGTGTCGCGGAATGTCCACGCACATTTGCCACATTTTCAATGTGCACACAATTACAAGAGATTTTGCAATCGCAGTGGGATGCGTGCTTGTTTGGCAATGCAATGGCCATGTCATCGGTCCTCCCTAGGCACAGCCGGAATCTAATTCGCGGGTGTCGCGGTGTCAAAGAGGACGTAGCTGCTATGCGACGACCGGGCCCCCACTATAGGCAAAAGCCTTCGTGTAGGTTATAAAGGACTGAGCACGGTACTACACGGCTGCACTCTCTCAGTGAAACTCTTGGAGGATCGTTCCCCAACAAGTAGTACCTCCCCTCCTCGTCAGCAACGCGTGCACCATGAGGATTATATTATTGGTATGTGTCAAATTATTCGGTTATTTTGTTAAGCGCGTGATTTCCGCCGACTGTGTCCTCTTTCCGCGGTTAATCGACTGCTTATGTTCGGGAACATCTTTTGGAAATTTTAACGTGTTATAATTCTGATGTTTATTTCTTTCTAATATCCGCATTTCATACAACGTGTGTAATGCACTATATTTATGAAAAATTGATATAAAGAAAAACTTAATAATGTTTAGCGAAAATGATAACGTTTCAAATATACCAACATTCTCGTATATTAATACATCGATATTACAACGTTACATATTGCAAAAAAGTTTTCGAAACTAATAAGTATGTAAGTTGAAAAAAGATATACAAAAGATTTTTTCTGTTCTTTTTAAAATTTCATTTAATGTATTCTGTGGATGTTACATGCAACACAATCTACATGGCAATTTAAATGATTTTTTACACACATTCTTGAAATTGCTCAGATCTTTTTTACATTATATATTATTTGACATTATTATACAGATATATCGAGTAGATTTATTATTTAATTTCTTTTATCAAAATTGACGTATAAATATTAAATTACTATTGATAGTTATATTTGTATCATTGGCAATAAGATTGTTTAAAATCAGTATAAATATTTTTTCTATATATTCATTATTTTATCGTTGTAACGTTAATATTTAAATTACATAAAAAACATTTATATCTCACACGTTAAAATATTAATCGTGGTGTCCTAAAAACAGCTTATTATTCTCTGTGACCTATATCAAATTAACCGTCATTAATGCAGGAAAGTCAGAATCTCGATAAGATCTATGCGGTTCATTATTGCAATTTACGTGCGCGCGTGTGAAAACATTTATAATTCATAGACGGCGCATGATTAACAACGGAAAGTGAATTGTGTTCGCCCACTTGATGTTCCATGCATGGCCACGAGAATTTTCGCTAGAAAAATCCTCCTTTTATCATTCATCCGTGCGAAAGGCCCGTCAGACGTGAAAAAGTTGTTGAACTATAAAATTGCAACAGTTTTCCCGCGAACAGTCGTGAATTAATTATATTCCGCAAGAAGTTGTTGACATCCGTTACCTTAATGAACCCACACTCGCTGTTGGGCAATATAATCTTTTGTTGAATGGGAAGCAGACTCGCTCCTTGAAATCCATGAGTTGGGCTGCGTTCAAAAACTTTACCTGAATGCATCTAGTATCATTTAATTTTTGTTTAATTATTATCAATAATTACTATTGAAATTCAATGAGCAACAAGGATAAAATGATATGGATACACCCAGAAAAAGTTTTTAAAAGTTACCCTATGCGACTACGGTGACGGCCGTTTCGTTACAGCCTAATATTTTTCGCGGCGACTTGCTTTTTTCAAATATGATCATTACGTGCCTTATTGATTAATAGTGAAAGTTCTATTCATCATATTCTGGTTATAGCTGTTGGCATTGTTGTAGCTGCTGGTCCACGGTTCACCTTTCTTGACCCGTGTCGCTTGAGATCGATAAACACGATATTTCTTCCTTTGTAGAGTTTTTGCACGACCGATAACTTGAGTCAGCATTATTGGAACTAAATTTGTCTTGAAACTAAATAGTTACATTCATACACTTATTCAAAAGCGCATAATAATCAATTACCACGTGTGTTCTTACACTCATAAACAACCCGGCGTCTGTCGAGCTGTTGTGGGAACATTTAATAATCGCCGATTTCACTCGTGCATTTGCAGCACAAGTATAATTCGCCAATCGTGTGAAGAAATGCACAAGGATCCTGTATGCGGATATTAACGTCGATTTCTCCGATTCCTTTTCCCGCGGCTTGGTGTAAAGCGACAATTAAACGCTTATTAATAATTCACGAGCGTTTCTATATCATAATCGTTTTCTTATTATTTCTCACTTTTCATGGCTCGATCTCTCAGGCGGTTCATTCTGCGAGAGTTTAATAATACCTTCTCTGTACCTTTATTAAGGTACAGAGAAAAAGAAAAATATAGATCAATATGTCTAGAAATACAAGAGTACAGTCGGACTATCCTTCAAAAAGGTGGAACATCAGCAATACTACTATTTTTAGACCCACACCTTAGTGAAACATTTAATATAGTAACTTGATACATATGTATGAGAGATAAAAGAAGATCCATGAAGAGCCTTGAGGGATGACATTAAAATTTCTCAAGAAATAAGAAGATAAAAGAAGAAGAGTATAGAATTAAAGCTGTAGCACATAAAAAAACTTAAGCAATAAAGCGTAAACAGTAAGGAAATCAAGATGTTGAATTTGCTATACTGCTTACGTTATAGCCTGATGGTCTCTACTATGATTGGCCAATTTACTACTTACGTTTTATTGCTTAAAGTTTTTTGTGCGCCATGGTCCTCAATCGCATGAAACGCAGATGATCTCGCACGCACATCGCAGATTGCTGAAGTGGAAGCGGAATAATTCCGGATGCGTGATGTACGAAATACTTCGAGTCCGATACCAAGAAATCTGCGCGATTGGCACGATCGGCGACCCGGATAACTGCCTAGGGTAGTCCGATTATTGGCACTTTCACCGATTACACAAATATGGGACGTCTGTTTTCGCGAAACTTTTCGCAGCGATACGTTGCACGATATTCCCATCGCCGATGTACGCCAATCAAGATTCCCCCGACGGCAGTACGTCGTCGATACCAAAGGCAGAAAGCGCGTGTACGCAGAATGGCATTTTTTTTTCGAGCTGAATCAAGAGCACTTCTCCCAGTTTTCGATATCTGCAATCGCGAGAAACCGCGATGGAAACGTCGGTTTCCAATGACGCAGCTGGTCTGTCACGAAGATCGAACGCTAAATGAAGCGACACTTTTTCCTCGCTCGATTGAAATCGCTCAAGCACGAACGATGGCGATATACAAAATACAAGTGCCACTTGCGATAAAGAAAAACATAAAAAAAATGACTTATCGCGGCTGACATGATCGTTTTTGACGGCGATCGTCGAGAAACCCGTTTTGCCAAAACCGTCAGCCCCTCAGAGATACGACGACGACGAAGGAGAAACCTCGGTAACGCCGAATTGCGAAAGCGAGGCTAATATATATAATAGGAGCAAATCTCTCGTCCGCTTTCAGCAGCGATTCCTCGGCGATAAACGATCCTCGGGATGCGAAGACTTCGTTCTCTCATTCGCCGCGGATCCTTCTTTCATTGCACGTCTCAAAGATATTAACGCGGTCGGCACCCAAGCCATTGTTGCAGAGAGCACATCACTTTACGGTTTACGGCCTCCTTTTTACTGTCATTGCGCAACAGGAAATTGATTACCGCATGCTCAATTATATCGGCTCATCGAACACCCGTCAATTTATGAACGCGCACTTTCCACGGAAAATCGGATGCAATCTTGGTGAATTCATTTTTTGTTGTTACAGACACGGAATAAACCCTGAGACATAATTGAAAAGCAATACGAACAGAGAATAACAGATTTCAACCTATCCGTATTCTGGTATACGGTTTCTGATAAGTTGAAATCTCTTATTATTCCCTGTTCCTATTGCTTGTGACTTTCAATTATGTTGCAGACTTTACTTTAGTGTTTTAGTGCGCTTTAATGCGCTTTAAAAAAAGAATTTTCTAAAATGTGAGATTTCAACGCTGTAACTCCTCGGCTAATTAGCATTCCGAAGCGGGCTTTCCCGTTTTTATCGCTTGGCCACGGCGCGGCGGCAGTCTCGTAGTCTCATTAGGCAGCCGGTTCAGAAGAAAATGTGAGAGCAAGAAATATATCGCAACACATGGGAGGCTGGCAAATCCATAAATTAAGGGCATGCCGATCTTTCGAGTGACTTAGAACGTTCCTTTCGAAACTGCGCCATTCAGTGTTATAATTACGCCCGGTATTGTGGATGCACAGGCGGGCAAATGCATTAAGTTTGCCGCATAAGGTAGGCGGGGTGGTTAATGGTTTAGAAATATCGGGTAGATCGTTGCGCACACATCCCGCGTAGCGACGAAGCTGGATTCGCGATGGCGTCTTGCGATATACCTAGAGATGAAACCCTCAATTACGGTAATGAGATTAATTCGACGTTAATCTTCCGCATTCGAGAGGAAATTCGAGTGGGTGTCATTTTTCTCGTAACTTTCCATATTTGGCATCGCTCATTTATTACAACAACGACACAACTCAAAAAACAAAGTTTTTTTTTAGAAAATGAGTTTGAATGTCTTGAATCATTAAAATTTTATGATATTAATTTTAAAATGTAATTTTAATATAACAACTGATTGTAGAGGAATGAAAATGTTCTTTTAAAATATGTTTCTTTTTTTCTATAAGCAATTTCAAAATGATAATGTTATGTCGTTGCTGTAGCAAAAAAATAAACGACACTAAATATGCTTATAATTCTTTTAATTATTTTAATTAATTTCAGCTAAATTCTTAAAAAATAAGAATTAATTCATTCATCAATAATTAAGATTTCAGTTCGCAAAAGCATTCCCTTAAAAATGCCTTTTTACATAATTCCATAATCATCGTTTCAACATGTTTATTAACGAAAATCAATTACAAATTGATTAAAGAGTTTGTACCATGAAATGAAGATGCGGTGGGATATTGGTGTACGCCAAATTGCGCGCTTATTAATCTGCTTTCAACTTTCCCGCACGGCAATCTGAAAAAGCATGTAGCCGAATGACATTCTAATGATAAAGAAAAACGAAAGTTAGAGACTAGTGGCGCGCAAGGCTGGTTAGCCGTAAATACAAAACGCGGTTTGGCCGCGTTTCGTCGGCCGGACGGAAGAAAGTGAGAGCGAATGCTACTTTATGCAAATAGATCGCCGGTGTGGTCAGCGCAGTTTTCAGAAGACAAGGGCACTCCGTGCGGCATACCAATGTGCGCTCGATGCCAATACGAAATGAATCACGTTCGCTCTCGCCGCGCGCGAAACCACCCGCTTTACTCGAGCCTCTAAGCGCCTTTTTCCGAGCA